CATCTCCACGCTCATGTCCGACAAGGTCAGGCCCTGCCCGGCGCCCTTGGGGACATGCCTCGGCCCGCTCCGGGACCCCCGGCCCCCGCCCCACACCCTCACCGGCCCCGGGCCTGCTTTGGCAGCAATTCCACGAGGCAGCCTACCTGGCCGACGAGCGGGAGGACCTGCTGGCCGCCATCAACGCCTTCCTGGACTGCAGCGTGGTGCTGCCGCCCTCGGAAGTGCAGGGCGAGGAGCTGCTGCGCTCCGTCGCCCACTTCCAACGCCAGATGCTCAAGAAGCGGGAGGAGCAGGGGCGGCTGTTGCCCCCTGGGGCTGGACTGGAGCCCAAGTCAGCGCAGGAGAAGGGTACGGGCTTGAGGGCCGGGAGCCGCTGCCCGCGGGGGCTCAGGGCTGGGTGGTCTGGATGAACATGGAGGAGGGGCCGAGCACGGAGGGGCCGTGGCGGGCGCCCTGACGGAGGCCTGGGTTGCAGCGCTCCTGCAGATGGTAGAGGTGGCAGATGCAGTGGAAGATGATCCCCTCCGGCGGACGGGACGGCCCTTCGGGGGCCTGATCCGAGATGTGCGGCGCCGCTATCCCCACTACCTGAGCGACTTTCGGGATGCGCTCGACCCCCAGTGCCTGGCTGCTGTCATCTTCATCTACTTCGCGGCCCTGTCTCCTGCCATCACCTTCGGGGGCCTGCTGGGTAAGGCGAGGCTTTGGGATGCCGGCCACGCGGGCAGGGTACGCCCCAGCCCCGGCTGCCCACGCCTGAGCCGCGTCCTGCCACCCCAGGAGAGAAGACTCAGGACCTGATTGGGGTGTCGGAGCTGATCATGTCCACGGCGCTCCAGGGCGTGGTCTTCTGCCTGCTGGGGGCCCAGCCACTGCTGGTGATCGGCTTCTCCGGGCCCCTGCTGGTCTTCGAGGAAGCCTTCTTCTCCGTAAGGGCCCACAGTCTGGTGGGGGGCTGGCTTTTCCTGCCCCATTCCCCGGACGGGCCCATTTTGCTAGGCCCTGGGCTCTGGGCCCTGACTGGATGGCACCCCCCCCCCCCCAGTTCTGCAGCAGCAACAACCTAGAGTACCTGGTGGGCCGCGTGTGGATTGGCTTCTGGCTGGTGCTCCTGGCCCTGCTCATGGTGGCCCTGGAGGGGAGCTTCCTGGTGCGCTTCGTGTCCCGTTTCACCCAGGAGATCTTTGCTTTCCTCATCTCCCTCATCTTCATCTATGAGACATTCTACAAGCTGGTTAAGGTGAGCAGGCCCTGCTGGGAGAGCTGGGTCAGGAGTGGTGAGACCTGGAGACTGGCGGGGAGCCAGAGCGCCTTCTGCCTCACTCTCACTCTTGCTTTGGGGTGGGAAGTCCCAGGCTTGCCCGGAGCTCCCCTGGGCTGCGGGCCAAGGAGCCCACGGAGCACGGGCTGGTTCTTCCTTCTGGCCCCTCTCCGCCCTCTCTGGCACCAACATGCATCCTGGGACTTCAGGTCGATCTTAAAAACTCATGTATTTAATAACAAAGGTAACACGTTCTTTTGTTAAACTGGCAGACAGTCCAGAAGTGTCAAAGAGGAAGGCCCCTGAGATGACACACACAGTCACAGTCTGGGCCTCAGAGCCGGGCCATGTCAGGCTTAGGAGCGGACACGGCCCCATGATCCTCTGCTCCCCGTATCCTGGCCCTCCAGGCCTGGCTGCAGCCACCCCCCAGCTGCCTGAATCCCGTTTCCCTTGCTCACATCTGGTCACCAGTCATTTTCTTGATCAACAAGACAAGCCCTGGGGTGCCTGGGTGGCTCAGTTGGTCAAGCCTCTGCCTTCTGCTCAGGTCATGATCTCAGGGTCCTGGGATCGAGCCCTGTGTTGGGTTCCCTGCTCCGCGGGGAGTCTGCTTCTCCCTCTGCCCCTCCCCCTGCTTGTGTGCATGCACACACACTCTCTCTCTCTCTGTCAAATTAATAGAAACCAAAAAAACAAGCCCCTTAAGGCCAGGCCCGCCATTTCCTACCCTGCCTACCCCACTCAGCATATGTCCGCGCCCAGAAATCTCTCCACTTGGGCTGACGGAGCCCTCTGTCCTCTCCCTAGATCTTCCAGGAGCACCCCCTCCACGGCTGTTTGGTCGCCAACAGCTCTGAGGTGGACAGCAGCGAGAACAGCACATGGCGTGGGACAGGAGCTGCGCTGGGACTGGGGAACGGGAGCTCTGCGGGACCAGCCGGGCAGGGGAGGCCCCGGGGTCAGCCCAACACCGCCCTGCTGTCACTGGTGCTCATGGCCGGCACCTTCTTTATCGCTTTTTTCCTTCGCAAATTCAAGAATAGCCGGTTCTTCCCTGGCCGGGTGTGTGAGCTGAAATGCCAGAGGGAACGAGGTGGGGGGAGTGGGGGGCAGGAGGGTTGACTGAGTCAGGGCTGGAGTGGGGCAGGGACCTCTGAGCACACTGCTTGCCCACAGGTGCGGCGGGTGATTGGGGACTTTGGGGTGCCCATCGCGATCCTCATCATGGTGCTGGTGGATTATAGCATTGAGGACACCTATACCCAGGTGAGCCTGAGCTCATGGTCCGGCGAGGAGATGCTGCCTAGCGCCGGGCTCCAGATCTTCCCTTCTGGCCCAACCCCAGAGCTGCCTCTTACCTGTGTGGACCCCAGGCCTCTTCTGCAGCACGCCATCGGCATTCGCCCCGCCCTGTGCCCCTCGGGGCTCCCCCTCCACAGTTCACCAGCCCTCAGCCCCACTCTCTGCCCTCCAGAAGCTGAGTGTGCCCAGTGGAGTCTCCGTGACAGCCCCAGAGAAGCGGGGCTGGGTCATCAACCCCCTAGGGGAGAACAGCTCCTTCCCCGTATGGATGATGGTTGCCAGCCTGCTGCCGGCCGTCCTTGTTTTCATTCTGATCTTCATGGAGACACAGATCACCACGTGAGTGGTCCTGGCCCAGGGGGTGCTCCGCAGACAGAACAGCTCTGTTCGTGGAAGGGCTGGAACCCCAGCAAGGCCAGCCACTGCGGGGGACCGAGTGAGGGAAGCCCAGGGTGCCAAGCTGGCCCCTAGAATTTATTTACCTTTTTATAGATTCATTAATTTATTCGAGAGCGAGCATGAGGGGGAGGGGCAGGGGAAGAGGGAAAGCAGCTCAGACAGACTCCGTGCTGAGCTCGATCTCACAACCCTGGCATCACGACCTGAGCCAAAACCAAGAGTCGGACGTTTAACCAGCAGCGCCTCCCAGGCACCCCTGGAATTTAGCCTGTAGGCAGTAGAACGTTCCACTGATGTTTGCTGGGCTGGGCACAGTGGAGGCTGGAAGCGGTCCTGAACCGCAGGGAGGGCGGCACAGGGTGGGCCTTGCCCCACGACCAAACTCTTCCTGACGGAATGGGCAGGCACGGCCGGGTTCCAGAAGCAGACAGAGGTTCCTAACTGGGTGCTCTGCGGAGACCCGGTGGTCTGCCGGGCTGGGCGTCAGGGCGCTCCTGTCCCCACCAGGCTGATCATCTCCAAGAAAGAGCGGATGCTGCAGAAGGGCTCCGGCTTCCACCTGGACCTGCTGCTTATCGTGGCCATGGGCGGCATCTGTGCCCTCTTTGGCCTGCCCTGGCTGGCTGCTGCCACCGTGCGCTCCGTCACTCACGCCAACGCGCTCACCGTCATGAGCAAGGCTGTGGCGCCTGGGGACAAGCCCAAGATTCAGGAGGTCAAGGAGCAGCGGGTAACTGGGCTGCTGGTTGCCCTGCTTGTAGGTGAGTTCAACTCTTGCTCCACCCCTCCCCTGAGCAGTCTGCAGGGGTGGGGAGCACTGGGGCCAGCTGCTGCTCCCTTTCCTCCCCCAGGTCTCTCCTTGGTTATCGGGGATCTGCTCCGGCAGATCCCCCTGGCCGTGCTCTTTGGAATTTTTCTGTACATGGGAGTCACCTCCCTTAACGGGATCCAGTTCTACGAGCGGCTGCACCTGCTGCTCATGCCCCCCAAACACCACCCAGATGTGACCTACGTCAAGAAGGTAAGACTCCGGGGTGGGGTTATGGACATTGGGTAGGGTATGTGCTATGGTGAGTGCTGTGAAGTGTGTAAACCTGGAGATTCACAGACCTGTACCCCTGGGGGAAAAAAAAATATATGGTTATAAAAAATAAAATTAAAAAAAAAAAAAAAAAAAAGGTTAAGACCCCACTTGGAAGAGCCCCACGCCTCCGCCCCCTTCTGGCCTGTGGGGATCCCTCTCCAGCCCCCGTTTGATCTGTGGGGACCTGGCTTTGGTAAGCACCCAAAAAGGCACTTCCACCCCTATCCCCACAGAGGGAGAAAGGGTCATCTGTCCTCCGGAGGTGGCAGACCATGTGGCCCTCCGGGGACCAGGGCCCTCCAGCACTGGGGAGAAGCCTGGGCTCACCTGTCATATCGCACCCACCCACAGGTTCGGACCCTCCGAATGCACCTGTTCACAGCCCTGCAGCTGCTGTGCTTGGCCCTGCTCTGGGCGGTCATGTCCACGGCCGCCTCCCTGGCCTTCCCCTTCATCCTCATCCTCACGGTGCCCCTTCGCATGGTGGTGCTCACGCGCATCTTCACAGAGCGAGAGATGAAATGCGTAAGGCCTCCTGCCCCTCCCCTGGCCCCCATCCACCTCTGGGGTCCCTGCCCAGGCTGAAATCATCAGGCTCAGCCTCTTTGTTCTCTGCCCCCCCCAACAGCTGGATGCTAATGAGGCGGAGCCAGTGTTCGATGAGCGGGAGGGCGTGGACGAGTACAACGAGATGCCCATGCCTGTGTAGCTGCTGCCCGGACCAACAGCCAAGGGACAGATGGACAGAGGGTGCAGGGGCTTTGGCAGGGGGCTCTCTCCAGCCCCCCCTCGTTTTTATTTAAGTGAATAATTTAAAGTCCCCATACCACCCCCACAGTAAAGCGCTTCGGCCCCCACCTGCCCCTGGCCTTCCGTCTCTGTGTGGGGAGGAAGCGTGGATGCGAAAGAGGGGGGCCCAACCCACTGTCCCAGAAACAAGATGCGCGATGGGGAAGGAAAGGGACTTTAATGAGAAACCAAAATATAGAGAGCCAAAGTGCAAACTGTCCACCCCCCTATTGGGGGGGTCATCCTGAGCCCCATGTGCACGCCCCTCACCCCCCTTCAGGCCCCCAGCGGAGGCCCAAGGCCTGGAGCTTCTGCCTCAGGTAGCTCTTGAGCTGGGGCAGGCCTCTCTGTGACTCCAGTTCCTCGAAGGGTAGCTGCAGGAGAGGGGAGCAGCGGGTTACCCACATGGTCTGTGGGCTGGGCAGAGGGGTGGCAGGATGGTGGGGAGTCTCACCGGCAGGAGCTGGTAGCCCAGCAGGCCCAGGTGCCGCTCCCGTAGGGCCCGGGAGCCCAGCAGCACTCGGCCATCGCGGCAGAAATGCCAACGTTCCCGCAGCATGAGCACCACCCTGGAGGGGGCGGACGGCGGCTCAGGGGGGTGTCCACAGAGGCAGGGAGGCTCCCCCGCCCTCTTCCCTTACCTCTGGGCAGGGTCGTGGGTAGTGGACTGGGAGGCAGCCTGGCCCTGGGCACAGGACCTGGGAGGGTAGGGTAAGAAGGGGTCCTGGGTCCTCACGGGAAGCACAGCACCAGAGCTGCTGACACACAGCAGGAAGTCTGGAGGGGGGAGAGAGAGGGCCACTGGCTTCCAGCCAAGGCTCTGTATCCCGGCCAGCCACCTGCCCGCGGGAATTCACCTGTGCAGTAGCCTGGAGGCACGGTCAGGTCCTGTCGGTACTTCTCTTCCCCCAGCAGCTGGCGCAGCCCCTCTGCCACTATATCCTTGTGACTGAGTCGGGACAGGGAGCAAACACCAATAGGGAAAGGCTCAGGAGGCTGGACCCTGGGCAAATGCTTCTGATGTCCCAAGCACCGCCCCCTTCCTTTTTTCTTCCTAACTGCTAAGAGTGTGTCAGCATGGGTCAGCGTCCCCCTGGCTCTTCTACTCTGTGTTTCCTGCAGGCTGGTCCTCTCCCCTCCCCCCTGCTGCCCCATCCACCTGTACTTGCAGCGGGCACGGTCAGTGATGAGTGGCTGGGGGAAGATGGGCACTTGCTGCCTTCGGGGAAGGCGGGGACCCCGGTATCCCGGAAGCTCCAGCTCCACAGCCGTGTCTAGCAGGGAGAGGTAGCGCCGCACAATCAGGGCGTGAGGGGTGCCTGTGGGAAAGCAGGACTGAGGCTCGCGGGGTAGCAGACTCCCACCCCCAGTTACCCTGCCCACTGGCCGCCAGGGTCCCAGCCAGCCCTCCCGTCCGCGCACCGCTGATGTGGTTGATGAAACTTGGGGAAAAGACAAAGTGCAGGGCCCTGAGGGGCAGGCACCGCAGCTGGCACAGTGACATCAAGATGTTGACAGTAGCCAGGGGAGCCACCCCTGCTTCCCGAGCCAGGATCCTCTCAAGGCAGGGCATAAACTGCTGTTCCAGGGGCAAGTAGTTCAGCCGCCCAAAGGGCAGGACCAACTTCTGCACCACCTGTGGAGGAAGAGCAGCCCTTCACCAAGCACGAAACAGTCCTCCGAGGTCCGTCCCAAGCTGAACCTCGGGGAGGCTTGGCCTGCGAGCTTCTATTGTCTCTGTAAAGGCAGAACAATCCCTCTACCCCGACGTACACACCAGAAGTTCGACAGCATAATCAGTGTCTTGAGCCCCATGGGATTAATCAAACCAATGGAGACATCGCTGTGGGGTCTGGCCCCGAAGACTTAGGAGTGGGCTCAACGAAGCTAAGACAGCGCCGAGTGTGGAGAACTGCAGAGAAGCAGGCATACACGCTGGGTGGGTGGACAAGCCAGGTGGGGGTGAGCAAAGACGAAACCCCGGGGTGGGGGGAGGGAACAGAGCACAGAGCCTGGCTGGTTGTCCACTGCAGGAGGCAGCCAGTCAAGCTGAACAGGGGGCCGGGCCCGACACTGAGGAGGGCTAGGAGAGGAGCATGGCAGGGCGGGAGGCAATCCCACCTTGCTGCTGAGCTGGGTTTCCTGGACCACCAGGAAGTGGGCAATGGCTTCCAGAAGCTGGGGCTCCCGCAACCGGTGCCGGGCCAGGTGCTGGGCCAGGAGCACCATCACGTTGGGAGTCAGTTCCTCCGGCCTGGCCTCTGTTAAGAACACCCGTCACGCTGGACCGCAGGCCAGTGCTGGACTAGATCCACTCAGCCCAGACACCAGCACCTACTGCCTCCTGTCTTTAGCCCCTCCCACCACCTGCCCTCAGTCCCCTCCAGCACCTGCCAGGCTGCGGATGAGATGCTGTCGGGGACGCCTCAGGAGACGAGGGCAGCTCAGAGCAGCTTCCAACCTTTGCCCGCCGCACAGGTCGGGTTGCAGAGTGGGAGGTGGCTTCGGAGGGAGGCGGAACCTTCTCTCCTGCTCCAGGGCACACATCAGGGGCCCATCTGACGGGAAGCCTGAGAGGGAGAAGGTCAGAGGAGGCAGCCCTGGTAATGGGGTGCTGCTCTGTTCCAGTCATGGGGTTCAGTTGCTGGATTCCCAACCTTTCGGGTCTCCGTGTTCTGGATGGAAGGGTTGCTATAGTGTGAGCAGAAGCACTGGAGAAACGTGAAATAGCACGTGACTGTGAGGTCTCAGAACAGTCTGTGGGGAAAGACCTTACACCAACATGGCAGTAAGCTCTCATCGCACGCCAACGGTGACAAACAGTGGTGGCTTTCTAGAGCACTGTGTTGGAAGGAATCAGGGCTGGCACCCCTAGCTAAGCTGGAACGAATGCTGCTGGACTCCTGCTGTCTGCTGTGGATACGGGGGAGCAGCACCGAGCCTGCCCGGCCATGCGCCATTCCTGGCCAAGCCCAAGAGGTGAATTCTGTCAGTGATCTTGGGTCTTCTATGGTCTTTCTCTATTCTTCCGTTAACACCCACCCCCCAGACGCCCTCCTCACCAAGTAAGACTGCAAGGTGCAGACACACGTGGACGGTGTGAGGATCAAAGGAGGGGCAGTTTCGGATGATGAGTTGACTCAAGTCCTGCAGTGTGGCCTGCTCCACGGGAGGGGGTCGTGGCTGGGACCCCAAGAGCTGACCCAGACGACGAAGTGCCACAGGGTAGTGATGGGCGCGCACCTTGGTGGGGTTCTGGCCCAGCCAACGCAGCAGCTCCCCAGGGCTCCTCGCCTGTTCCAGAAGCCGCTGTAGCCCCTGCACAGGGCCTGCATGGAGGCCTCCTCCAGGAGGCCGGTCCCCCCACTTGCTGGGCCCCAGACAGCAGGGCTGTACTGGCGGGAGCAGCAGCAGGCCAGACAGCCGAGCAGCAGAGGCCTGGGCAGAGAGCAGGACTCGAAGCATGGAGTTGGGTGGAGACCCTGAGGGGCAGCCCAGAAAAGGGGGTGAGGTTTTCTCCAAAGAGGAGAAAAACCGGCTATCTACTGACCTCACTGCCCATTCAGGGGGCCCTGGGGTCAGAGCAACCCACTCATGTTCACCCTTCCATGTGGCTGCTCTCGTCTTCTTCCCCACCCCGCCCCTCTCTGCCTCCTTCCATCCTTTGAAACAGCACCTTCGGTGTAGTCAGCACAGGGATATTTACAAAGCAAGTCCACATGCACTACGTATCGCCTCTGATGCTCCATACACGCCTCCGAGGTGGCAGGCAGGGCTGGCACTACCTCGATTTCACAAGTGGAGAAACCAAGGCCCAGAGAGGAAAAGGGGTTAAGCCCGAGGTCAAGGATCGGGTTAGTGGTCGTGCCCAGCCTGGAGCCCAGCTTGCCCCGTCGATACGCCCTCCCGACCACCTCCCCCTCTCGCAGGAGGCGGCAGCGGCAAGGAGGGTGGAACGCGGGCTCGGCAGCCGGGCGGTCCTGGGTTCCATGCTGGGCGCTCCCACTTACCAGCTGCATGACCTTGGACAAATGGCTTCGTCTCTCTGCCCAAGCCTCCTCGCCCGTGAAACGAGAACGCAGCGCCCACCTCGCAGGGCGCCCGTGGAGCCCGAGCGCGCAGCTTTGCAATGGCGCGGAGTCGGTGGTGTCAGGGGCCCCCACACCCACCCCGGCCCGGCAACGCCAGGAGACCGTGGTCACGGTCGCCAACACCAACTCCCGCGGCCCTCCCGCAGCCCGCCCCATAGGCGCCACCCCTACATGGCTCCCCAGGCCCCGCGCAGGTCGCTCCCTCAGTCGGTCTCGGGGCCCGGGAGCCGGGCTCCCCCCGCGGCCTCCTCATCGGCAGGCCACCGAGTCCGCCATCTTCCCAGCAACCCCCGGACCGCTGTACGGACGCCAATCGCGGCTCAGCCCCGGACCAGCACAGACGTGGCTCCCGTCAGGCCCCGCGTGCCCCTGCGTCGCACGCTCCGCCCCCCACTTCCGGGAAGCTGCGCGCGCCGAGCCGGGACGGGGCGGGGCGGTGCCGGAGGCGGAGGCGGAGGGGCGGAGCCAAAGGGCCAGGTCGCGGAGGCAGGAGCGAAGGGAGAGCAGAGCGGAAGCCGGCGGCGGGTGGTATGATGTTGGGATCCCCGGGGAGGGCCCAGTCTGGGTCCTTTACGCCTTTCCTCCCAGAGGGTAAGGGGTCCCTGCTCAACACCCCCACGGGGCCACACACCCGGACACACACCAGGAGTGAAAACTTCACAGTCATTTAATCTGCACATGTTCCACACAATCCCTCTGCCCTCCCAGCTCCCCTTCCCCAGCGCCCCGCAGTCCTTAGGTCCTCAAATCAGCCCAAGGAGCTATTAGGGACTAGAGGTGGCTGGGTCCTCGGGCAGAATATTAAGAAGGGCCCAGGGGTGTAGCCCGGCTCTGCCCGGGGCCAAGGCAGTGACAGCAGCTGCCTGACCCAGAGGAGCTGACTGTCAGCGGGGGCTGAGGGCCAGCAGCCCCAGCAGGTGGCCCAGAGGCATGGAGGTCACAAGGGGGGACCTCAGCCGACTCCCGGAGCGCTCTGCTGCGCAGGGCTGGGCTCCAGGGTAGCGGGAAGAGGCAGGCCGGAGAGGTGGGCCTGGGTAGACAACAGCGCCCACTGTGTCGTGGGGAGCAAGGTCCAGAGGGGCCAGCAACGCTTCCAAGAGCCCGTGGAGGCACTACGGGCGGTACATGGCAAAGGCCAGGAGACTGAGGAGCAGGGTGAAGCCCGCCAGACCCAGAGTGGCGGTCAGGGGAAAGAAGGGCCGGTACTGGATCTGGCAGTACCAGAGGAGCAACAGAAGCAGCAGCAGCAGGGGCAGCAGCAGGCTGCCGATTTCCAGCCCGGAGGGGCCTGGCTCTGACCCCGGTGGGCAAGGGGGGTGTGGGGGACCGACGCGTGTGGACACGTGGCAGTGGAGAACGCAGTTGGGCGGGAGGTGAAGGCTGCCCAGGGTCTGGGTGTCGTCTCCTAGCAGCTGCCCTTGGTAGATGAGTCGCACCTGCTGTTCCTGGCCGGGAAACTGGGTCCTGAGGAGAGAGGGACCTGGGTAAGAGAGCAGGCCTCAGGCAGTCCTGGTCCCTTGCCCAGACCAACACTCCCACCCCTCACCTTTGCCTCCACCCAGCACTCAGGTGGTGGCCTCTATGGGGGTCCCCTCCTGCTATAAGGGGAATGATAGTGTGTGACGTGGGGACCTCAGTTCCTTCATCTTCAGAAGGAGGAGGAAGTCTCAGATCTCTCTGATGGCCCTTCTGGGTCTGTAATGACTCCCACCCCAATCTTTAGAATTTCTTTCTGTCCTCATCCCAGCTTACCTTTTCAGGGAGCCAATGGTATCGTGGGGCCAGGCCCTGGCCACCTGCTCTGAATCGTTGAGGAATTTCAGGCGCAGCACGAGGGGTTCCTGGGGGGAGTCCGGTGATGGCGACGTCGCTGAGAGCCCAACGCCAGGCTCTGGCTGTGCAGCCTGACCTCTGTGTCTCAAGCTGGGGGTCTCGGCTCCTGGGGCCTCCCCTCTGATGCTGCTGGTGACCGCCATGGCTTCACTGGGCTGTGCTGCTGCTGGAGTCCCCGACGGCTGGGGCAGTGGGTCGGCACCCTCCGCGGTGTGTGTTGAGACCCAGGCGAGAGCCAACACCAGAAGGCAGGCAAGCACCGCAAAAAGGACGGTCACCTCATCACCCACCCCTTCAATCAAGGCCATGGCACCTGCCTTGCCTGCCACCTTACTGAGCTGGAGAGGTACAAAGAACCCATGAGGGGCTGGCTCGCTGGCCAACTTAACTCCCAACAGGCTCCTGCCCCCACCCCACCAAACTCTCCCAGTCCTTATTCCTCTGTCCCATTACCCACACTCCACCCTAGGGCACATACTGTTCTGAAACCCGGCTGTCCGAAAGTTCCCTCCAGTGTCCCTTCCCATAACCAAATCCCAAGTCCTACCTTTTTGTAACCTGAGTTCTAGGTCCTAACCATCTCCCCAATTCATTCAAACCCTATCCCGATGTAAGGGCCTTGATCTTCTAAGCAACTTCTCTCCTAAATTCAACCCTCAGCAAACTTCACCCCAAAGCTTACCTAATCTTCCATCTACTATCCCAAAGTTCACCTTCTCCTTCGTCTATTTCACCCCAAAGCTTATCTACTCCTCCATCATTAAAGTTTCTGCAAGGGGGAAGAAAATGGGGTTCTCTGTCCCCCACCTCCACCTCCGTTATCATTTAACCAAACCGCACCCGCGGCAGGGTACTGCTTCCCAAGGCTTCCCCACACCGTACGTCAATCTCCGCCCTTCGGCAATTCGGAGCTTCCGAGAGCTGCCATCCCCCCACCGGACTTGGCCCCTCGGGTCTACTCAAGCCCCACCCCGCGGCGGCCGGACTCGGCGCCTCCTATGGAAGCCTCTCCAAACCCAGTCTGCAAGCGGACCCGAGATCCCGCCCGGGAATCCGAGACTTGGCCCTCCCCACCCCCAACTCTTCCATCACCCCTCCCATCTTCCCGCCCCCCGGAGCCACGGGAGGGCACCGGCGAACCCGGGGCGGGGCGAGCGGGAGCCAGCTGGGGCCCGGGGCGGTGGGGTGGGCGCGGTTACCGCGCGGGGACTCACCGCCCGGCTCCGCCAGCTCCATAGCGGACCCTCGGGCACTTCCGGGCGGGAGGCGCCGAGGTCGCGGACACCTGAAGGCACCCCCTCCTTCCCTGCTGCCGCCTCCCGGAGCATTGTGGGACTTGTAGTCCTGCGCCGTGCGCATCTCCCGCCCTCTGCCTTGCTGACCCACATGCCGGGATCCGCAGGCTAGTCGTGGGGACCGCAAGTCGTTGAGTAGCCGCGGGGGCGGGCTTAAGGGTTGTGCCATTCTCCTGAGGTCCCGGCAACAGGAAGACCCGCCACCTCCCCCGATGGCATCCAGGGCATCTGTCACTCTAAAAACCGACGTCAGCGAGAACACGTCAGAGCACCCGTGTTTCCAGATGCAGGCTCTGGGGCGCTCAGGTGACCCCTACCGTGGTCTGTCGTTATGTCAGAGTGGACGCCAAAAGGCACTGTGGGCCCCTTAAATTGACTCTTTGTCTCAGAGCCCGGTACCCATGGGCTGTCCCATCAGGTTGGCTGAGGACATTCATGGCCGGGGCTGGCCACAGTAGCTTGGGCTGCCTTGTCTCCTTGGTCCCTTCCTCCACACCGCCCCTGTAAGACTATGAGAGACGCACAGACCTTGGAACCTGGCACAAATGCTGATCTCTTATCCCGTGTTTATTAACTGTGTGACCTTGGGGGCGCATGAAATCTCTTTGATTCATAATTGCTTTGTTCCTAAAACATAGTTCATAAGGAAATTGTAAGGAAGAAATTAAGCGTTTTATTAAACAAGTATGGAAACTGTGTAAGGGAGCCATTACACACTAGGTATTTGTTCGCCTAGTATTACACGAGTACCTAGTTACCCAGTATTACACCAATACTCTGGGCTTGGAAACTACATTCTTAGTGTGTTACTGTGTAGAGGACTTGGATCCACAGCCTGGCTTGGGCCAGCTAATTTCTATGGCTTTTTCCTTCCTTCCTCTGGGCCACAGAGATCTCATGTGCTGGATTTTATAGGCCAGTCCTGGGGAAAAGCCACGTACCCTAGTGTTTCCACAGTTCATGCTTACTCGTCCGAGCAGGTACCCCAAGTGTGAACAGGTTCTGCCTTGGGAAAGTCAGTTTAGATGTATAACATGCAGATCTAATTTCTCTCTAGTTCTTTCCCACCTATTCATTCGTTTATTCTAGAAACATTTATTAAATCTATACTATATGTCAGGCACTGTGCAAGACGCTGGGAATATGATGGTGAATCACACAGGTGAACTTGTCCCTGCCCTCACATGGCTCATATGATGATAGGTGAGAGACATGTAGACAAGCCCACCGGGCCTAACACAGATCTGTGCTGGCTGTTGGCGCAACACATAGGAAAAGCTCTTTACCCTCAGCATTTCTCCTGGGAACTACCTGGTGCAAATTCTTGCTGTCAGTTCTAGTTAAGCATCTAAAAGAGATGTTTGCTGTGGCTTTCAGAATTACACAGCGTCAGAGCTAGGTGTTCTGCTCAATCATTTTGCAGATGAAGCACTGAGAAGGTACAAGACATCAGTAAGGTCCAACATGTAGATACAGCCTGAATCTCTTAGGAGCTAGGGAAGCCCCAGGCGTTGAATAGCTCACATCTGGTTCTTTTTCTTTTTCTTTTCTTTTTTCAAATAAGATTCCACTCATTTATTTGACAGAAAGAGACACCGCGAGAGAGGGAACGCAAGCAGGGGGAATGGGAGAGAGAGAAGCAGACTTCCCGCTGAGCAGGGAGCCTGTTGCAGGGCTCTATCCCAGGACCCCAGGATCATGACCTGAGCCAAAGGCAGATGCCCAACGACTGAGCCACCCAGGCGCCCCTGGCTCTTTCGATGGTACAAGACACTTGGGTGACCGCATTGGTACCGGGCCAGAGTTGTGTGAGTAGCCAGATGGGGGCAACTCTTTGCTGGGAAAAGATTCAGCTTGGGTTGGGAAATGAAAGTGTGTATAAAAAGCCTGACATATGTTAATTGTGTCAGAGGACATCTGGGCACAGCCCTGGGAGGCTGACTGGCTGGGGCCAGGGCCCTGCACACACCCTCTCTTAGAGGCATTTTTGCAAAGGTTGAGGATGACCACTGACTAGCAGGACCGCAGACAGCTTTG